GAATCAATGCCACGTAGAATTAAGGCAGTTCTGAAGGCGAAAGGGGGTCAAACACCGTATTAGTATGGTGTTCCTAATAATCCTTTAGGTGAGTGTATGTTGGACTTTAACTGTAGCTGACAAACAGCAAACATAACAAATGAATAACGCAGTGGAAAGCAATGCAAAACCTTCTGGATATACAAGTACACCCATTCATGCATTTTCTATGCAGGATCAATGAAAAACAATATGAAAACATATGCATAGACACTCCTCACTTAACTACCTACCTGTTTAGTGACCAGTCGGTATATTGTACACTGTACGAGAACTTCTGCGCGGCGTCTCAGCGTCAATCAATTATGGAAATTAAAACAAAGTTATCAAGCTGGAGTTTCCTAGCTCTTTTCATTATTCAGAGTAAATACAAACGATGACCTGTATTTACGGTATGCAAACCTGAGTAGTGTATATCAGAGCTGATTTCCTCTGTTGATTACACTATACAGTACAGTACTGTATAAACATTTACAAACAGGGATGCACATAACTTACGCAACTACGAATTCAACTTTAAAAGCGTAATGTGCGGCAATAGATTGTGGTAACAGCACAAATGAGCAAGTTTTTTATGTTAATTTTAACTGATATGACAAGAAATTACCGTGCATTTTAGCCGTGATTTCCCAAATGAAATGCGAATAGCATATAAAGGTTAAAATGCACGATCATTCTATTAACGACCTAGCCGTACTGTATGAATGGAACTCGGTCATTAAGTGAGGAGTACCTGTATTGTCATTAGCAGATCCTAGTGCTACATCTGGTTCTACAAACACAAACTGCTAATTTCTGGCTTTCTCAGTTCAGTTTAGATCTGGATATTGACCTGGCCAGTCCAAAACATTTGTATTTTGTTCATAAACTATTCTCATGTTGAATTGCCGTTGTATTTTGGATCCTGTTGTCTGATTCTTTTCCAAATCAGCTCAGACCTTGGTATGGCAAACCATTGCAGAGTTCTACAGTATGTGAAAGCAGAATTTGCGTCACCTTTAGTAATGGTAAGCCATCTAGGTTGCAATGCATTTTATTTCCAGACCATTATTCTCCCACGCCTGACCACTACTATGTTTTTTTTTTACCAGATATATTACAAAATTGTCAATTGTAAATGTTGAAAATTTATGAGGGGAATCAAGCGAACCTGGTTCATGTCATGATATGAAATAAAGTCCTTCTACTCTTGATATTGCTTATTAAAAAACAAGTTCTGATATGGAATATGTACATTTTCAGTGCTTGAACTACCTGTTAAATATGCATCAGTGATGTGGGAGAGCTTGGTAATAGAACTTTTTTTCCCAGATAAATGTCCATGTACTTCATAAGGTCCAGAAAGACCTGGATAAAGGAGTTGCTTTCAGCCTGTAAGTGCAAGTGCTTAATACCCCCATTGTCACTAAGACGTTGTTGAAGGTGAACGAAGAACTGAAAGGAGCTGGAGTCCTTGGAGATATGTGAGTCTTATGAAACTGGATAACCTGATTAATTTCACTGATGGGATTAGCGCCCCTCTCTGTTTCATATGCTGTGATACAGAAAAGGGCAAAGGAAAAAAGATATATCAGATCTATCAGTCTTTCACTGTCATAGTCCTGGAGCAATAGATAGAAGCTAATCTCTGAAATGATGTCCCTCAAAAATGATGCATCAATCCCAGAAAGAAAAACTTCCCCTTGTTTCTCAGTGCAAAGTTAGTTGCATCAGTGCCAACTATGACCAATGGGGCACATTGTTTTTGACATTAGATTCATAAAATATTATTTTCCTGGAAAATCTGCCAACTTTGTTAGTATTTGGATTATCTACACTAGTGTGTGTGTCTATGTGTCTACAGTATGTGTGTGTGTGTGGTGCCTTACTTGGTGATCACCCTGCCTTGATTGCCCTCATGTGCTGCACCTGTGTGCTGCTCTTTATATGCAAAGGCTTCTGCCCTGACATGTAGATAGAGCATTTGTTGTGTTTTGTTGCTTTAGCCAATATAGGTGCTGTTGTCTGTGGTTCCCTGTGTTGTCTGTGGTTCCCTGTGTTGTCCGTGTTCTCCCTTGTTCCCTTAGTTGTGGTAGTCTGTCTAAATAACCCGGCATTTAGACCATTTGGACTTGCCTTTCCCATGCCTGCTCAGTTGCTCTGTGACAGTGTGTGTATGTATATACTGTAAATAGGTACTGTATAGATGAATTTCATGATGCTTTACCACAATATCACGTCTTTACTTCATTCCTTCCCACAGACAGGACCAGAATTCAAAATTGCTGTTAAGACAACAGCTTTAATACACACTTTTCCTGTTTGGGAAATCGAACGGATTTCACAGTTTCCAATATGAGATTTGGAATCCACACAAGACATATTGCTTCCCCTCAAAGGGACAGATTCAGCTGCCCAGCAACAAAGAAACTCATAAACCAGCAAGCTTGCTGGACAGTACATATTTCAGTGTGGAAAACCTCCCAACGAACAAATGGTTTTCTTAGCTAAGCTAATAAAACATGCAGGAATTGAATGCATTTCCCCAAAGGCTCTTTTTTCAATTTAAACTCAGCAGGAAGCTTTATAGGTGAGGGCATGGGCTGTTGCTGGCTCACGTCAGAAGAACAGTCTTGCTCTATTTCCCTTGATGAAAATACTTAACCTGAAATGCTGCAAGGGAAAAAGTTAGCTAAGTAGCATAACAGCAGTAACCTTTTCGTCTATGTCCTGAAGGACAGTGATCAAAGATGATAAATGATAAATACAGCAAGATGTGCATTCAGAGAGGCCGCTGTTGTACTGAGCTGCTCATTCTGCACATGTAGCCTTCCTGTTAAAGAGGATGCCCCTGACCTCTGTCCTTAGCAAAGTCTTTTTGGCATACGTCACGATTTTGGATGTGCTAGATCAGTGGTCCCCAACTGGCTCACCAACCAAGAGCACTAGACTATGCGCTCAGCGATCGACCACCCTGGCAAAGTTTACTGTCAGGAACACGCCCCTCCCCCATTATTGGGAAATTTAACCGTCAGGGCAGCAAATTTTATTGGATGCAGTGGACCTTGGCTTTGTGTTGCTGATGGAATTTGGGCCCCTGCTCTAGAGGCTGCATTATGTGGCTCTTTTTGAAATGCTGGGTCTACCAACAATCACACCACATAAATCACATTTATCACACATCCCAGCTGTGCTGATGCTTAGACAAACAGTAACTGAACCTTTTGTTCCTGTCTGCATACTGTATGCATGCATTGACAACCCTATGGTTCATACAACATGAAAAACAAAATACAAGAAGCCAGCATTTCTTTAACCAGTTTTTTTCCCCCCATCTTCTTTAGCTAATATAAGCTAAAATCCATCACAAAAGACCTCCTGCTCCCAGTCTGGCCAGCTCCACCTCCTGCTCCCAGTCTGGCCAGCCCCAACTCTTGCTCCCGGTCTGGCCAGCTCCAGCTAACACATGCTGAGGATGATTACAGTATCTGTAAAAAAATACCAGGGATACAGCAGAGAAAGAAAGTGCTTGGCTAGATTTCCTAGCCGATTATCAACTCCTGGGGCAAAAGCCCAACTGACCAATGTCCTTGTCCCTTT